TCAAATGGAACTCGAAACTCCACTCAAATACATAGGATCCAATCATCCTAGTTTTTATATTTAAACCAAGCTTGGAATAAAAGTGCAACAAGTGAATATAATCAAGAGCCATCCCTAGTTCATAATTTCAAAATGGTAAGAGAAAGAATATGTTGACGGATGAAAAACCGAAAAAAGGAAATCAATGCAGACACAATCCATCTTATAATTACCATCCCTCAACTGCCAAAACAATTTGACCCAACTTAGGACAAAATCGAGCATACTCACCTTAATTCGGATTCAGCATCAGATATCTGATGGCCCATAAGTGCAGTGACAAGGGATAGAATCGGTTCTACGATGGAGGAGAGACCTGGCACAAAAAGGCCAACGTTGGTCGAGTCTCCGACTCCAACTTGTTCAGAAGCATAACCTGTAGATACGTTTGGCGATATGAAAGTGTCCTTGGAGTTGTTCGCAAAGTTAAGTATGGATGGATCGCGAGGAGCTAGAGCTGATTTCGTAGTTAATTTGGATTGTAAGAGAGTATGAGAGGCAAAGTGCTCACGCTCAACTAAGGCATCCTTAGCCGCAGTCTCCAAAAGATACCATAAGTTATCAATAAAAGAATCGAAGCTGGTGGGCAAACATACTGGAATATCACGAAGACATGAATCGAGCTTTGAGTGGGGTTGGGATGGTGAAGAACACACCGATTTAAGATGGCTTTAAAAAGAAAACACGAAAAGACATGAACGAATACAAATACAAAGTAAAATTTGAAAACATAAATTCAGTAGAGTAAAGATCATGACAAATATAGAAAATAAAAGAATGTGCGTACTTCAAGTATTCTGAAGAATGCTGTATATTTTTAAAACGTGAGCCTAAGAATTCCTATTAGCCAAAGAGAATCGAAAATAAATCATCCAGATACGAGCAAATACTAAGAAAAAAGCATATGATAATTGTGAAACCCTCATCATCCTTAACAGACATATTTGATCAGGGCACTGCCATCCTCAGGCTAGAAGCAGTGAAAATAGAAATAAAGCATCTTATATTAATAGAATTATAAATATAATTGCGTGATAACAGCCCCCACTCCAAACGGTACTATCTTCGAAATGATCGTCTCAAAAGTTTCTCCAAAGTTGTGCTTATATATTAAATTATAACACTCACCCCAGATTCAAATAATAAATATGCACAGCTAGTAGTAAGATGCTGGTCGGCCCTTAGTTAAAGGTTTCAATTCAGTCTTGAGTGCAAGCTTAAGACAATGCTCATCTGTAAACTTTAGGTTCTAAGTAATTTTGAAACAAAAAGGTGCAAAATCAAAGCAAGATTTATAAATAACTTCGAGAATAAAGATGGATAAAAATGTACCGGAGCAACTTCAATTAATAGAATTGAGACTGCAATAGTAAATACATCCTAATAATTTACAATTCAATTACTATAGAAAGACGCCCAAAAATTTGACGCCTATTTAGTCTTTATTCGAGATTTGGCTACATTAGTTGAGTTCGCTTGCAAATGATATAATAGAAATCTAAAATGTAACTTGAAGGATCCTGTAAAGAGGAATATTGGAATGGACATCAAGACGTATTAAAGGAATAGTACATCAGATAAGAACGAAATTCCACCTTAGGAATTCGTTTATTCTTTGACTCATGCACCAAGTTAGATAAAACTTACTCTGAATCCAAGTGCGAAACTTCTGATGATTGAACTTTTTGAGTGACCATTCCGTCTGAAAAACTACCCGAGTCACTAAAGCTGGGTGAACTAGTAGCAGCATTACTAGTTTGATGCCTTATGCTGGAGGAACAAGATTTTGGAATAACAGAGCAAATAGATTTGTCGGCAGTAGAGGTAGTATCGATGGATGAAGCCTGATTTGCTGAAGAGAATAGCAACTGCCAGTGAAGCCTGCCGAGGGAAGTCAGTGGGAGGAGAGCAGCAGCAGCGGCAGCCCGGACATCTTCTTCTCCAGCACAAGTCATTTCAAGCAAATCAGGGAAAGTTTCAGAAATGAGCGAGGTAGATGGAGTGTTGAGGAGTCTAGTGACAAGCATAGGACCGACGACAGGCAGAAGAATATGTGCCAAGTCCTTTGAAAAGAAAGCCAATAACAAAAATAATTAAACTACATGATTAGAGATATAGAGTGAAAATATGGTAGGATGTTAAAATAAGTAAGTAATTTGCCAACCACAATTAAATAGGTAAGAAGAATAGGATTAAAGAGGCTGACGGAAGAATACAAATCTATCTATGAAAAACCGCTAATTTCAAATACAAGGGAAGTACAAGTATAAGTACAAGTTATAAGTATGTTGCCTTGCGAATGAAAGTAATTATTTCAAGCCGCCTAATTTCTAAGAATAATCTAAAAGTAAAAAATTGGAGCAAACTTGC